ATGAATACTTCTATAATATGTATAGTTTTATTTCTCTGCATTATCAAAATTTAATAAAATAGTGAATTAATACAATTTTAAAGTTTATTTAATCGGTGTGACATAATTTGCCGTGTTGTTTAAGTGGAGTTGATTGGGAAAATACAAGTGTTGTGGCAAAAGAAAGTGGTTTGAGACAAAGAAAGGTGAAAGAAGGAATATAGAGTCTCTCAGGGAAATACATCGTGGTATGAAAGTATTAAACAGTTTTGAGTCATTGACAGTATGGAGGCCTATTTTAGACAGATATTTCGATAATGAGAACAGACACGCCCGTGCGCGTGCATTTTAGTTTGAAATTAAACTTGCGTAGAACGAACGTTAAATTAGTTTGTACACGTCAACATTTACAAAGTTGTAACACAGAGTAGAGACATACAGAGACGTAACTAGTGTACCCACTTTTTTGTGCGCATGCTCGGCAAGTTACTAGATGCATGCATCTGATTGGATGACGACCTGATGACGACTCACTTTAAACTTGCTGAGCACGCGCAGTTGATCATTTTTCGCCCGGTCGCCTGACAAAAAGTGGGTACATGATAACGTAATCTTCCGCAGTGTTTACGTACAACGGTCAGTTACGTCTCTATATGCCTTATCTACTCTGTGGTTGTAATAACCTGAAGACGGACAGTATAACTGTCCGAAACGTTGTTAAAAATAAAGTAAACCTCTTGAAAAATCCTGTTTGAAAGTGAATTGAATTATATAATTAATTTTAATTTAAAGGGATAAAAGAAGTCGACTGAAATATTAAAGTTTTGTAGTTGTTTTAAAAATTTGCTTCCACGCTTTATAGGTCCTATATGTATTATAGACAAATTTGGTTAACGTTGTTGTCTACATCGTTGCTATTAGATTCACAACTTTACTTAACTCGCATGCCTAGTTACTATTGTTTTGTTTAGAGAAGCATGTCGCAATTCAGGGACATGATAGATAGATTTTATTAAAATTAGGACAAATAACCACGACAAGCAGACAACTTCAGAAAATACAAAATAAAACAAATTCCGAAAATAGACATCTTGTGTTCTTGATATTCAAGATAAAAACAAGAGTGTAAAGTCAGAGTCGGTAATATTTCGTCTTTATTCCAAAGACATCGTCAGACCTATGAAATTACAAGCAAGCTGTGATCTATATGTATAGCTATTTACAGAAGCAGCGGAAGTATAAAATTACAGGTTTCATGTATAAGCCAATGTGATGGACTAATGACTTTAGAACAATGATAGTTTTTTTACAAGCTTTTAGACTACTATTGAGTTGTGGCATATTACGCTTTATCAGTAGCTAGTGCTTCTAGGATAAGGAGTTAATTAGGATTGTTATTATTACAACGATATAGGATCTTAGTATTAGTTTGAATAAGGATTGCAAAGTAAGTCCGTGAAGTCTTCCTCAGAATCAATGTCAGGAAATGAGAAAAGGCGAGAGATGAAGTGACAAACCCAAAGCGATTTTGGTCGATCTTTAAGCTGAACAATAAACAATCAAGAGTTCCAGATATTATGTCAATGGGAAATGCCGCTGAACCTGAATCATCACAAACTTATGATGTGTCTACTCCTACTGCTATTGCCAATATATTCAATCGCTACTTCACATCATTGTTCAACAATGATCATGATAACCTAGACGAACGTTCCTCTCCACCATCATCTCCACCTTCAACGTCAGGACAGTCATACCTCCAACTAACAATAGAAGAAGTCGCAAGAACACTCTTAGCGCTAGACACCACCAAGGTTACTGGACCTGACGCAATACCATCTCGACTTTTAAAAGAAACTGCGTGGCAGATTGCACCTTCCCTCACCCAAATATTCAACAAGTCGTTAAGCTGTGGCGAAATACCTGATGAATGGATATTGGCAAACATTGTTCCGGTACACAAAAAAGGCGAAAGGAGCCAAGTAGAGAACTATAGACCTATCTCCCTTCTTTCCATAATATCGAAAGTACTAGAACATTGTGTCCTGAGAAATATACATGATCATTTGCTGCAATTAATCAATGATAGCCAACATGGTTTTATTCCCGGAAAGTCGTGTACAACTCAGCTATTAGAGGTTCTTGACTATATTGGTTCACTTCTGGACGGTGGCAAGCAAACTGATGTAGTCTACATGGACATGTCCAAGGCATTCGACAAAGTCCACCATAAATATCTAATAAGCAAATTAAGGAACGTCTATGGCATCTCTGGTAAACTCCTTCGCTGGTTTGAGTCATATCTGATAAATCGCAAGCAACGTGTGACTGTGCTAGGAGCTACATCCTCCGCGAGACCTGTCCTGTCAGGAGTTCCACAGGGTTCAATATTAGGTCCCATACTGTTCCTGTTGTACGCGAACGACCTACCGGATGCAGTAGAGCACTCCAAGATCGCCTCCTTCGCCGATGACACGAAACTATTTAAGAAAGCTGATTCTACTTCCGATGCCATCTCCTTACAAAGTGACCTTAGTAGTTTGGAGAACTGGTCAACATCTTCTGGCCTTGTCTTCAACCAAGACAAATGCAAATGTCAGCGTACATGTAACAAGGAAAAAGAATCCTATCAAATACGAATATAAGATCAATAACAAGTCCCTGGTGGTCACCGAAAAAGAGAAAGATTTAGGTATATGGATTACGGACACGTTAAACTGGTCTTACCATGCCCTCGATCGCTGTGCGAAGGCAAACAAAATGCTTGGTTTCCTGCGTAGGGCTGCCACGGAAATTACAAATGTTAAGATACGCCGCACACTGTACCTATCAATTGTTCGCTCAACGCTAGGTTACGCCACTCAAGTCTGGTCATCACAATCGATCGACTTAATTACGAGGACAGAACGCATCCAACGACGAGCTACAAAGTTCATTTTGAAATTACCATACGTGCGCGGAGAAACGTACAAAGGCAGACTGATCTCCTTAGACTTACTACCAATCACCTACTGGCACGAGTTCCTTGACATTACGCTGACATACCAACGCTCTTTCTTCATCAGAGTAATACGAACTTACAACTCTCTGCCAGAAAGTCTAAGGCAAAAAGATTTTTCACTGGTACGATTTAGAACATTGTTGCTGGACTACTACCACAACGCTGCCAAGACATCCTATGATGTAGACGATGCCAGAACGTGGAGAACAGTCTGCTTAAAATGCAACACATCACGAAAACTCGTGCAACCATTAACGTATTGCTATTAGTACATGTACACTATCAATTATGAGTTTCAATTTATATATTAGTTGTGTGTTTTCTGTATCCAAGGGCCCACAGTAATTGGTTTTAAGCTGTTGTGGTGACCCCGCCTTTTTGTTGTTGTCACCTTTTTGTCCAACCTTGAAACGTGGAGGCTGGGCGTATTTGCTGCGTTTGGATATGTTTTGTCTAGGTCTATGCCAAGTCATGTTGGGCTTGTAAAAATCAAGCTATTCTAAAATGAAAATAATTGTAAAATTAAACCGTCCTAGGTTAGCGGTCAAGGGTGTATGTTTTTGTTTTACTATCATGTTGAAACATAGACAGGGGCGCTGAAGTTTGCTCGTTTTCGGGTTGGACAGAAATGGTTGTGTGTACGTGTTGTTTGATTGTGTAATTATAGGCGAAGCTAAATAAATAAATAAATAAATAAATAAAGTGTGCCTCAGGACAGTCTAAGAGATGTTGAGATATGGCACTAGAATTGTTGTAGTTGGTAGCGTGCTGTGTTAGTCGCGTTTGTAGGTTACGTTCAGTTTTACCTATGTACGTTTGGCCATAACCAGGACACTTAAATTCGTAAACAATATCAGCTTGACAAAGTTCCGGAATTTTATCCTGTTTTGGACAGAAAAATGAACTTTTCTTGGTTTGATAGATCACAATGGACAACTTGCATGTTAGACTAAATTTTAATCTAAGCATAGAAAAGGGAATCAAACACCACAGCTAAAAAGAACATAATAAAATTAGTAAAAGTGCAAAATTTGGCTGCGAAATGTTGCAAAGCTTGGAAAATATAGCTTTGCAAAGTGTGCATATTTTCAGTATATTTGTATTACGAGTGGAAATTGTTACCATTTTCGGCTCAAAAATGGTAACAATTTCCGCACGTAATACAAATATACTGAAAATATGCAAACTTTGCAAGGCTATATTTTCCAAGCTTTACAACATTTCGCAACCAAATTTTGCAAGTTTACTAATTTTAATAAGTTCTTAACGGGAATTTACTTTTTTTTTACCTCAAAAATTTGTCTAACATGCAAGTTGTCTATTGGTTTAATGGGAATTTTCAAACTGCGACGGATTTTGCGACTCTGTCTTTACACTCTTGTTTTTATCTTGAATATCAAGAACACATGCAAGATGTCTATTTTCGGACTTTGTTTTATTTTGTAAATAGGACAAAGATAACTAAAAAGTTACCTTGTTTTATTCTATGCTTCTGTAAAGGCCATTTTCCACTTCAAACGTACCGACACGTAGCAAAACAAATTTTAAATTTCAAAATTTAGTGATTAGTTTAATACTTCCTTAGTACGCTAAACGAATCAACCGGAAGAACGTAAATTTGAAAACCCATCTTCAAGCTGCGCATGCTTACGGTCACCGGTACGTTACGTTACGATACGGGCGAAGTGGAAAACACAAGCCTTAAACCACAATCTTGGAGTAGAAATATACATAATCAGTAGTAAAGCCAGCTCTCCAAAGTAACGAGAAGGCTAATCAGAGGTGGAGGACAAAAATAACAAATAATAATAAAAGAAATTAATAGAGTAGGATATTAAGAAACAAAAAAGAAACAAAAAGAAATAAAATAAAAAACTACTCTCTGAAATATTTAAAAAACGTTAATACTGAGTGTACCTAAATATCGAGTCAGGATTCGAGCCAGGACTCGAGCCAGGACTCGATTAAGGACTCGAGCCAAAAATGACGTCAAGTGATTTTGATGGATGAAAATTTACCAACAGCGTTGTCACTTTTAAGGAACTTTCCTTAAATTTAGACTATTCGTTCACCAACAATGCGAAATGTTAAAGGAAATTTAACTGAATCTGAGGAATTGTTTATCGATAACCTAAGGAATGTTTGGCAAATGGGAAGTAGGAGAAATTGTTTACCAAATTAATTTCCCGCCTTTTCCCGCCAGATTCGATAAAAGAAACTAAAGAACGAAAGTTGATATTTGGTATATTTGTACATACAGAGCTGTAAATCTCATCTGACTTTGGCTATTAAGGGGCCGATTACATGGAGCATTTTCAACCCCGGGGTTGAACTCAGCCCTGTTAACCAGGTTGAAATTTTTTGCGATTACATGGACGATTTCGACACCGGGGGTTAAAACGTTATACTGTACGTTCTCGGCATCGATTCGCGGAAGTAAAAAGCCTGTATTTTGTTTTCTTGTAATAAATAGTCACTACCACGCATGCTCGAAGTTCAACCCCGGGGTTGAAATTTCAACCCGGCTGCTAGCTGAAGCAGGGTTGAAATTTCAACCCCGGGGTTGAACTCAGCCCTGGGTTGAAAATTTTGTCATGTATTTTAAATCGCGCGTTTGATTTTGAAAGAGTTTTGTATTACAGACAGGGCTGAAATTTCAACCCGGTAAACAGGGCTGAGTTCAACCCCGGGGTTGAAAATGCTCCATGTAATCGGCCCCTAACTGTAACGGTTATTAGCGTCGGAAGACAGTGAATGAAACAATAGTCAATACCATTGTTGTTGTTTGTCTTTGATATATTGCACAAATATCGATATCCAAAAAAGGGAAATATCCGGCCAGTATTTTATCGAACTAAAACAGTTGGTATTGCCCATCACTAGCAGTCTCTCGCTCTTTACAAAACAGATATCGATACCTGTTGCCGCTCATTGCCGCTTAGCATTCGTCAAAGAGTAGGATAATTCTCCCTGCCTTATTTTCCTGTAATAGACGCCAATATCACCAAACTGTATTATAGAAGAGCCGGCCACGCTGGCTAACTGTATTACCAAATACACCCTTTCGATAATTACACATACTTTTTGGTCTTGGAACCTCGCTCTCATTGGTAAATTACACAAGGTGATTAGCGTAATTATTGAAAGGTTGTATTTAATTTGCTAGTAGTAGAACATTTAGCTAGCCTGCGTAACGTGTCTTATGAAACAAAACCATTGGGTAATGGCAATTCCCCGTATTTTCGCATTTTTTTGATCGAGTCCTGACTCGAGTCCTGATTCGAGTCCTGACTCGAGTCCTGACTCGAGTCCTGGCTCGAGTCCTGGCTCGAGTCCTGACTCGAATCCTGACTCGAGCAATAGTATATCTCT